TAGTTTGAAGTTCTTGGGGTACTTTGGTTTTGGGAGTACACTTACGCCCGTATTCTAAAAGCTCACTCACACTCACTGAGTGGAGGTTCAATCTGAGCTTCTCTTGAGTGTCATTGCTGTTTTTGAATAGCTGGATGGCTAGTGTCATACCTTACTACTCACCCTCCAGCTATTCAAAAACAGCATTGACACTCAATAGAAGCTCAGATTGAACCTCCACTCATTGAGTGTGCTTTTAGAATACGGGCGTTAGACCTGTATACGGCGATATGAGTAATACTGTACTTTAATGTGAAACCTTGCTGTTTCGGCATTGCGAGTTTAGTATTTGACTTTCTTCCGTATATACTTGTCTTCTTTTCATTGCTCGCTCATTCAAACGTATATATAATGTATTTTCCTTGGGGTACGACTATGAAAATAAATGTATGTCATGAAACTTACCAAATCATCAAGTTGCTGAGGACAATCATTTAACGCCTGTTTTATATCCATTTCCATCAAGTGATATTGTTGGCATACTAAATAGGCTTCAGCCCGAGCAAACAAGATATTTGACCAGAAAATTCGATTATAATTAGAACCAACAGCAGAGTGGAAAACTTCTAGGGCTTTAGTGAAGTGATTAATTGCCAAATAAGGTTCACCTTGACTTCGGGCTAACCGTCCATATTGAAAGGCCGCTGCAACTATGTCCATCTCTTAAATATTTGCCTTTAAAAATAAATTTATTGTAATGTACATGATGTATAATCGATACGGACTCATGCGAAAAGAATCAGTCAATGGTCTGGCGAAAGTCGTCGGTTTTCTCCGGGTGCTCCGGTTTCCTATAGTCGAAAGTCCTGGATTTTCTCGGGGGGTTTCCGGTGGGTTAGGTTATAAACACAGTTAAGAAAGTAATATCAAAATTGTAGTGAAGACAAAATAGTCTAGGACTCTAGGCATAAGCATGTAATTAGGTAAGCCCAGCCTCGTACCCAGGCGCTATAAATGGGCACACTACAGTGTTTTTATATAGATCAGTGGCTCGAGCGCGCGGGGGTCCAGTTGCGTCCTCCCCAAGCACCCCCGCGCGCTCGCTCATCTTAGCCACTGATCTATATAAAAGTACCGTAGTGTGCCTATTTTTAGTTAATTGCGCCTGGGTACGAGGCTGAGGTAAGGGCGTAACACTATATGATGTAAAGCGCAGTTGACCTGCATCCACATGTAAACGTGCGCTACAGAAATATTAATCGGTTGGGCGATATTAAAAAAATCATCTCACGATTATTGTCAAGGAAATTATCACGATATTCGATAATATCACCATAAATGAAATAAAAACAGTGACCACATTTTTCAATTTTAATTAATATCAAGCTGGATAGTAAGCTTATATATAATCCACTAAAAACAACAAATTAATGTAATAAGAAGGCTTTTCATAGTCTAATATTTACTGTTCATAAACCTAAACTGTCTATGCAGTGTCTACTGTGTCTCCGCTGGTTCGCCTGTAATTTCATTTCATTTTATCGTATTAAATTCGTATTTAATTCAGGAAATAGTTTTAATTCTTTTAAAAACTATATTTTCTAGTGAATTGAAAGAATTTATTTGGGATTTTATAAGAGCTATATACAGTACACATGCGAAGCAATATCACGATAGTCATCGAGCATGACGATAATTTCGATTTTTCGTTGCTCAAGTTTCTACCTTCGATACGATAATCGTGATTGAAAATATCGCGATAAATCAAAATATCGAAATATCGCCCAACCCTAATCGTAATTCGTAAAATTATTTAAAATTTACTTATAGGTTCAGGATGTTAGCTACAGTCAAACTTTATGAAACTATATACGCCATTTTCCCAATGCCCAACGGGGTGATTCCAACTATACACTAAATTTTGATCAAGGCAAGAAGAACGAAATCCAACACCAAAGCTAGAAAGAGCGTCTTAGAATGAATAAAATTGCAAGATGGTTGCTAAATGTTGTAAAAAGAAGTTCGTTTTGTATATATTTTTATTATATAAACATAAGTGTTATATAGAGTTTTTGGCCACTGAGAAAAATCGTATTTAAACACACGTAAAAAATACGATATTTTTACGTGTGAAAATATCATTTGTTGTAAAACGCATTGCCACGGACGTTTTATTGTTTTTCATTGAATTTTGTTTATATAATAAACAAAAAAATACATGGGTGCTTGGAAATACTAGATTTATTTCTCGTGTTGAACATGATATCTCACTCGTTCGCTGCGCTCACTCGTGAGATATCATGTTCAACACTCGAAATAAATCTGGTATTTCCGCGCAGCCATGTATTATTCTCTATGTATTACGCGCGGTAAAAATAACCACTTTCGGCTCAAAAATGGTTATTTTTCCCGCGCGTAATGCAAATATATACAAAATTTGCGAACTTCACAGGGCTATATTTTCCTCATTTTACAACAAATCGCAACCAAATTTTGCAAGTTTACTCTAGACCCGGAAATCTGGAACAGCACGTTTTAAAGGGAGATGGAATAAACATTATGTTTGTCTCATTTAATCTTTAATCTTTAATCTTTCTAGAATTTCACATTAAATAGTAAATACTAAATACTAATTTACAATGTGAATTACATTTAAACTGTATAAAAAATTAACTAAGACTAATGTTAAGAGTCAATATTTACAAGTAATCTTAAATAAAAATTTTGAAAGAATTCGATAAATTTACTTCGACTCCAGCGTTCGGTTAAAACATTCAATCCCATACACAATTGGGCTATTTTTAAAT